ACGTACCACACGGATTGCAACTAGGATTTCTACAGACTAAGATTAACATAAATTTACCTAAATCCCTGCTCTATTCTAAACTGCCAGTCCACGACATGCATACGTGGGACCCCAGTCACCAGAGGTATCTACGTACCACACGGATTGTAACTTGGATTTCTACAGACTAAGAGTCGACCTCAGGGAACTCAAGTGAGCCCCGTCGTTCCTTTTTAAACTCTTCATATATTTACCTAAGTCCCTAAACCTAAACCCCTACACTATTCTAAACTGCCAGTCCACTGCATGCAAATGTGGGACTGCAGTTACCAGAGGTATCTACGTACCACACGGATTGTAACTTGGATTTCTACAGACTAAGAGTATATATATTTTTACCTAAATCCCTAAACCTATGGACACTTATTCACTTTCCCTAACGTTGAATTCAGTGTGAGTATGTGCTTATACTTTACATGTGATCAACAGGAAATTTTCAAATTTAGTTTTAAATTTAGTGGTCTTATAACGACCTTATTCAGTCAATGGACAGAGACGAATTCTGCAGTTGACAACAAATCTTTTTAGAAGTATCCAATCCAAGACATTTTATTCATTTAGAACAAAAGGTTGTCTGCTCACCTGATTCTGTTTTGGGCCCTTGTTGTCAATGCTGAACCACGCCGCCGGTACTTTCAGCTCGGTCCGGAAAACGGACGTCCCCGTCTTTCTTTGTCCAGGTCGGCAAATCACGTCGGGGTCACCAAATTGTAAGAATACGTGTTCAAGATTTGGACCCTGGTCGGGGTTATCAAAAATTCAGCCGAACGACTTCTCTCGTTCTGGGAAATGTATTTGTCAGATCACAGGTCAAGTATCAGCGCTGCGTTTGCAAAGGCAGGAGCAGTTCAGGCAGCACACAGGCCAGAAGAACAACTAACTACCATCAGCAAGAACATCATGTTTTATAACCCTTGAAAGACAGAGAAGGAAAGATTTCTATTGGCCCTAAACTGGCGTAGAGGAGGACCTTCCACCTCCCGCATCTAAATATCCGGTCACATCCAATGTCCAGACTCCTGACTTAACGTAAACATCAGCGAACAGAGTGTGTATGTTGAATAGTGTTGGTGTGTCTCTAACCCCCCTTTGGCTGGTAAATCTGCTAGTTGACCCGCAGACCTTGCATTCCTCAGCCAGGACATAAACTGACTCCCCATCTTGTCAGACTCGTGTCTGCCTGCTCCTTACCTAAATCTTAAATCAAGACAAGACAGCGAACCCCCAACTAAGCCCATGAAAATAACTTTTGATTATCAGGTCTCTGGGCCTGAGAAGGGAAGAAAAGGACTTTAATATGGCTATTAAATGTGACTAAAACTAGACTAAAACTAATTACATTTTAGTCTAGTTTTTGTCGACTAAAACTAGACTAAAATGTTCTGAGTTTTCGTCGACGAAAACTAGACTAAAACTAAGAACGATTAAAATGACTAAATGTGACTAAAACCAATATCCATTTTTGTCTAAAGACTAAGACGAAGACTAAATCAAAAATAGCTGCCAAAATTAACACTGCTTGAAATGTGCCGAGGTTCATCTGTGTTTTTACTTTAATTTACCTGAAGGTTCAAGTAACGCAACCTTTTTAATAGATTAAAGTTAATTTAATAAGAAAGTAGTCTGCCTAAATAAATAAACCAGGAAATAGCATATTGGCTTGTTTAACTTTGTTAATATTTTCATAAGTATCGCAGCAATAATACGAAAAACGTAAAGACACCAGATGAAGTGAAATGAATGTCCTCTGGTCAAACTCCCCAGTATGCTGTAGCCCTCCTCTAATGACAACTAGTGGGTCAATGGGATCGATGGAGCACTCTTATTTGGAAATAGAAACAAGCAAAGGCTCTAACCTCATGTGCAAATTTAAACATTCAATTCTAGATTTTTTTCTTTTTCATGATGTTCATAATCAACTAGTTTCATGGGGATATCTTTCAGTTTATTTAAGTTTTTATCTCTTCCTCCTCTCCCCTGTGTTTATATTATCTCCTTGGGATTCACTGTCAATCTTGGTGTACATGTGTGTGTGTGTGTGTGTGTGTGTTAGACTCTGAACTCCATCTCCTTCTTTGACGAACATCTCGCTGCGTTGTCCCTCTTTATCTCCTCTGTCTGCCTCTTAAATCTCTTTTTGCCTTTTGTTTTTTGCTCTCCCGCCACCACATTTTCACTCCAACGTCTCTCGCCCGTTAGTTAAATATTCCTCCCTCGCCGACTGTCTGCTGCCCGTAATGTCAATCGTTTTGATTAATTTTAGAAATATAGTCTTCTAAAGCTGAAAGTTGTCATTCATTTACCTTTTCATCATATAGGTATTTTTACATATTGGTAACATCAGCCCCCTCTTGTTGTTCACATTGCGCGTCTGCAGTAGGGATGGGAACATTCACCGGTTCGCATCGATGCATCGCCATAAAAGCTCACAATGCGATGGCCCGGATCAAAAAAGTATGCACCGGATACCTTGTGGTATGAATCACGGTGCAACATTTTTGCATCGGTATAATCCGATGTATTTATATAGAATCGTGTGTAGGCGAACACCATTTAATATTTAGAAATGTGTCCAACGATTTGTGACAAATAATTTTATATTTAGATAGATGCCTCCCCTCTAACTGTTTCTAAGCGCACTCATCTCCACTGCTGTCAGTGGCCGATTATCGTGAAGTCTCGCGCGAGTTGGAGGAGAGAGTGTGGGAGAGCGTTACCATGGCGGATGGAGTGTTAGACATCCCGAAAACAATAAATCCAAGGTTTGGCAACACTTTGGATTTCCAAAGAAAGATGGGAAATTTAATAAATCCCATGCCATCTGTAAAATATGTCGTGCTGCCATAAAGTACACCGTCAGCACAACTAATTTAGGGACGGACCTGAAGAGGCGACATGGTGAGACGTCTGCCTCCTCATCAGATTCAGGTATGGCTACAGTGGCGAGCTCTACCAATACACCTGTCAAGCACACTGAGAAAAGTATTGCCACTTTTTTTTCATGCCCTGCTGGCTACCAACTCAACTAGATCAAAGGAAATAACCGAAGCCATTGCCTTACTTATCTGTAAAGATATACAGCCTTACAGTGTTGTTGAAAACGAGGGCTTACAATACCTCCTCAATATACTGGAGCCGAGGTACCACATTAAAGTAGAAAGCTATTCACAAAAAAATGTTACATTAAGAGAACACTTACACACATACACACACACACACACACACACACACACACACACACACACACATATACACATACATGTTATCTTTTGTCAGAGACCTTGTTTATTATTTTTGTCTGACAAATAAATAAATCATTATGTACCATATTAAATTGCATAGAATTATATTATTTTGCATCACATCTCGTTGAATCGCATCGTGTCGAATCGCACTGCATCGCAATAGGGCTGAATCGGATCTAATCGCATTAGTAGCTGCTTTAATGTATCGGATCGTTGGTAGTGTATCGAGATGTGTATCGCATCGTCCTCAGTGATGGAGATGCACATCCTTAGTCAGCAGGGTTTGCTTGTCCTCTCTGGGTCACAGGGTTGGTCTCTGTGCAGCTGCTCTACTTTCTTCTTCCGTCTGTAGTCGCTAGGATTAAGAGCCAGTTAGACGAAAATATTTTCTGTCATGATTATCTTTGGGCAAATTTACTACAATCAACAATATCCTTTTTTGTGTAGTTTTGATTTCTTTGATTTCTTTGAATACGCTGCATAATATTTTTTATTTATTCTTGTTATTATACTTTTATTTAATTGATATTAAAATATGTAATACAATATGTAATTTATTTGCGTGATTGCTATTAATGCCTTGGCTTAAATAAACAACTTTTATAGAATATGTCCTTACAAAAAGGTAAAAGCAGTTGTATACAATAAATAGTTTAAACAACTTGCACATTGGATTTATCTTTGTCATGCTTTTATTTTGGTAGTGTCACATCTGCTGTCTGTCACCACATGGCAACTTTTACTCACATGTCACTCGTGTGTATAGTACGTCCCAGTTTCTTATAAATTTCTATTTGAGTGAAATGTAATTCTAGTCATAGTCAGAACACATTAATGAAGCTCTCAGTTTCTAACTCATTGTAACGGTGGAATCTCATTGTTGTCAGGAATAAGTAGCCTAATATTAGCACAGTACAACATAATACTATGCTATACATTTAAAAATACATAAACACAGCTTTGTAAAAAAAACAATAAGAGTATATAAGGGGAGGTCACAACAATATCAAATTCATGTGATTAAATACAAAAGGTTGTAAAATGAACTTCCATTTCTGCTAATACAATAAAAATGCATATTCAAATACAGAAAAAAAATATCTAAGACCTCATTTAAGGTGAGTTTAGTGCACTCGAGGGATAAAAAAGAGAAATTCAATCTTCATGTTCATAATATTCTACTTGTTAATTTGACTCTGGGCTCCTAGGTGAGAGAAATAAGATATAAATCAGCGATTCCCAAAGTGTGGGCCGCAAAGGTACTGCAGGTGGGCCGCAAGAGGTCATTTACAATAAATAAATAAATTAAAAGTTTTTTAATTTCCAAGTTTGAAAAGTTTGAAATTGATATAAAAATATGTCAAATGGGGCACCCTCTTGTAAATAAATATGTAGTAAATATATATGAGCTCCGGAGAAAATGGTATACAAAACATACATTGTCGGTTAATATATTTTTATAAGGTCAAGGTCATATAATCATCCCTAGTTTATGTTTTGATCAGAGTTGTGATTAAAGGTTTGGGTGGGCTGCAAAAGATTTTCAGATTTCAAATTGGGCCGCGGCATTCTTGAGTTTGGGAACCGCTGATATAAATAAATCAAATTTGTGTCTGGCTGTCCTCGATTCCACATTTGAACTATTTGCAGCATTCCAGTAATTTTTTTTTGGAACAAGTTGAGTGATGTTTTCTCCCCTCCTCGTTGCGTGTGTAGGCTCAAAGGAAGGAGGTGTTCCCGCAGGACCGGTACGGTCACCACAGCCTCACCGACCCCTTCATGGCCCTCCAGAGGGACTTTGAGTGCGGGCCCCCCGGAGGAGACAATGAGCGCCGTCCCCTCGGCTCCAGCCCCATCTCCGTCCTGGAGGCCGTCATGGGCCACTGCAGGAAGATGCAAAAGCGCATGTCGGCCCAGTTGGCCGCGGCCGAGAGCCGCCAGAAGAGGGTAAGTGAGGAGGATGGAGGAGGATGATGGAGGCGGAAGATGTAGGAGGATAGAGTAGGGTGGAGGAGGGGAATCAAGGATAAAGGGGGAGGATGGAGGAGGATGGAGTAGGATGGAGGATGAGAAGGATGGAGGAGGAAAGTAACAGTCTGGTGTTGAGAACCAGCTTCATATTCCTTGTTATCGGGTTAAGAGCTGAAAGGATGATTGATTAGTGTTGTAGTAGAGATTTCTTCTTCTTTCTCCCCGATTGTGTTTTTTTATATGCGACTCAAATGGAGGAAGAAACGTGTGCATTGATGTTTTCAGCGTATAATTAAAACCTGAGGATGGGAACAACAGTGTGTCTGTGTGTGTGTGTGTGTGTGTGTGTATGTAGTGAGTAATTTCTATTTTATATCTCGCTCTTTATCTTAACATCATTGTCCCCCAAGGAAAATGTTTCCTGTCCAAGGTTTTTCTTTAAATTAAAAACATCACAAAAACTAGAAAGGTGTTCTGTGATTCAAAGCGACACAAACGTGGGCAGCTTACAGCAGAATGTGAGACAGGACGCATGTAACCCCGTTAAGAATCCAGTAACACATTTTGATTGAAGTGCTTGTGTTTTTATTGCATTTTGCTTTGTGGTGTCTATTGGATGGACATGAGTAATAAAGACAATGCTGTGTGCGTCCTGTCCCTGAACTCTGTGATAACAACAGAGACCACACACCGAGTCGTCAACGCATCAAATTGCTTCACCTGAGAGAATCGATGCGTCTGCATTTAAACAACTCGATGGAGTAGGAAAACAAAATGTGTTGTGTCTCGAATCCAGAGCCGTATGTCAACTCTTATAATATATAATAGCTAATATCTCTTTTTCCTCAGTGGCACTGAGTCACGGATCTCCTTTTGTCCTCCAAGATCGCTCGCAGCTCACACTGACAACTAACAAATGAGGACATTTCTTTCGGAAGCTTTTCCGCTGCTTCGCAGTGATGGTGAATAATGTCACGTAACAGCTCGGTTTCCTCCTCCGATGCCACAGCACGAGTGCTTTTAAAGTGACACTTTGGGTAGAAATGCACCTTATCAACAGTGCTGATTCTTTACTTCACTCTTTATTTCCCACTCATTTGAACGCTGTATTTTAATGCAAATAACCACAATAGAAGAGTTGGAAGGACAACAGAATATCTATCCCCCTTCAGAGTGCCAGAGGAGACAGAAAGGACCTGTGTCAGCCAATGAGGCTCACGTGTGAGTAGCAATCGATATGATGGCTTACCCTCTCACCTCCTGAGGTAAATCCCCTCTGATTGCACAGTTGTGCCTGACCTGTAAAGAACCCCCCACGTCCCTCTGCTGGAACCATTACAGCATGAAGACACGTGCTCTGCGTGCTGGTTGCTAGGTGGACTGAGCTTCACCCGGACCATCCGTGACATTTTTACCCCCCCCAGCCCTCCAAGGGGGCTGCTGAATTATCCATGAGGTCGTAACTCTCTGGTTCATGGGCATAATGGACGGGGCGGCTTGGCAACTTGGCGACTTTCAATAAGTGCATTTCAACCATAAGGATACAAACCAAGAAGATCAAGAAACATTTCATCAAATAAGCCAATTTACTACTTGCCATCACCCTTTTTCTGGCATTAGGACCAACTTCGACACAATCTCACACGATAGCCTACTCTCAACCCTTCTGAAGAAAACAACTACAGACCGGTCTCTCTTCTTCCCCTTTTATCCAAAACTCTTTCTCCTCTCTCCTCATTCTTCTGGACCTTTATGCTGCATTTGACACAGTCAAACACCAGATCCTTATCTCCTCCGTTCAGGAACTTCTCTCGTCCTACCTCAACGGCCGCACCTACCAGGTAACCTGGAGAGGATCTGTGTCGGAACCATGTCCTCTTACTACTGGAGTTCCTCAGGGTTCCGTTCTGGGTCCCTTCCTCTTCTCGCTCTACACCAACTCTCTTGGCGCTGTCATTCGCTCGCATGGCTTCTCCTACCACAGCTACGGCGATGTCACCTACTAATTCTCTCCTTCCCTCACTCGGTCACCCAGGTGGCGGCGCAGATCTCTGCCTGTCTGACTGACATCTCTCAGCGGATGTCCGCCCACCATCTGAAGATCAACCCCGACAAGACTGAACTTCTCTTTCTGGGAAAAGACTCTCCGACCCAGGACCTAACGGTCAACTTTGGCTTTTTTCAACTCCGTGTTAACGCCCACTTTGACCGCTAGGAACCTCGGTGTGACACTCGACAGCCAACTCTCCCTGACTCCCAATACTACTGCGACAACACAATCCTGTAGATAAACGCTCTACAACATCAGGAGAATACGTCCCCTTCTCACTTAAAAGGCAGCGCAGGTACTGATTCAGACTCTTGTCATCTCACGCCTGGACTACTGCAACTCCCTCCTGGCAGGTCTCCCTGCTACCGCCATTCAACCTCTGCAGCTCATCCGGTATGCAGCAGCTCGACTTCCGAAATTCTCCCACACTACTCCACTCCTCCGCTCTCTTCACTGGCTACCAGTGGTTGCCCGCATCCAGTTCAAAACATTGGTGCTCACGTACCATGCTGTGAATGTATCTTCAGACTAAAGATACACCTCTTCAGACTCTACCTCCACTAAAAGACTAACAAACTGTAGCACTTAAATTGTACTTGTATAGTCACTTATATATAGCACATTGTAAATTGGCTTATTTTAGTAAATTGCACTTTCTTGTTTCTTGCTCTTCTGAGTTTGTATCTCTATGATTGAATGCACTTTGGATAAAAGCGTCAGCTAAATGACGCTTAAAAGTGTGAACAATAAACCCTTGAATTGCAGAATGTGAGCAATGGAACAAGAGAAACACTTTTTAAATTACGTGAACGATATTTCTTATTTAGATTGATCTCTAGGGTTCTAAAATATGGGTTACAACCCCTGGGGAAAGGCAGGTGGTGGGAGTGACACTTTATTTCATCTCCCGTTTCTATAAGCTGGTTCACTGCATGAAAAGTGAGATTTTCGTCCCCGTAAACGCCCGGAAATCTCCCTAATTTCCGACAGTTTCCGACAATTTGCAACCCGCGCATGTCGCGTTTGTCTGTGCCACAAATTGTCGGAAACGAACCATGACGTATGTGGAGAGCTGGCGGAGGTGCGAATGGCCCGAATTAGAATATGAATGCAGCGAAAACCGTGGGTGGCCGAGCCGAGTGGGCTTGAATATCCTTACTCCTTATTGGATGAAACCACAACTTTCAAAAGTAAAATCACTCGTGATTGGCAGCAAAACCACACCTGGGCAGACCAGGCTCGAGTTTCCTTGCTCATGATTGGATGAAACCACAACTTTCAAACAAGTAAAATCACTCGTGATTGGTTGGCAGATCTGTCGCTATTGGTCACCCGGATCATTTCATTTATATATTTATATATTCATATTATGCTGTATATTCATTTCATTGTTATCCTATGTAGGCTACTACACTATTATTAGGATACCAACCAGGACATCAATGAATTTATAGAGGAAATTAACATTTGCCAGGAACATGTTTATGCAAAGAAAGAGCTTTATTAACAACACACAAACAACAACTACATACAAAGTGAGGATCTGCCCACACTTGGGTAAAGGCGGTTTAAAAAACTACAGCTCAGTAAACTGTCCGTTTGCCTCCTCGGGGTTGTAGACCGTCACTGGCAGCGTGTTTTCCGAGGCAGGTCTGTTGTGCAGGCGCCTCGTGTGTGTGGCGACCGTACAATCCACCCCGAGACCCCGCCAACGACGCCGTCCCCTCCGTCCGACGTGAGCTCTACGGTGGCGGATTTCCAGAGTTCCACCTCGTCATCAGCCAGCACACTTTGTCTCGATTCCAGCAGCTGTAAAAACAACAATGAATCAGTACTGTGCGATGCGATGCGTACGGACACAACACATCTATCAATGCACCTGAAAAAAAGTCAGCAAATAAACTCTGACCCTCTTTCTTCTCGCTCGACTGAATTCGGCGGCTGGAAAACAATTAAATGAGTGTGGTATGAATATAGAAAAAATCAAACGCAAGTCACAGTAACATTTAACAAGGAAGGAGAAACAGTAAACAGTGTCACTTACACACAATGATGTCTTTATCTAAATCGAAATCTGGACTTTTTCCCGGAGCAAATACGAGGTCACCGCCTCATTATGAGGCGAGATTAGTCTGTGAAAACAAAATGTACAGTTATGATCGGTATCCATCCTATGGTATCTATACGTATATATTTCCTTATACCGCAGAATGAAAGCATATTCTTTAAATCTTACCCTTGCTCCGGTTCGTAGCGCCTGTAATTCGTCTCGGGGGTGTGAAGACGGCGCAGCGCTTCCTGTAAACGACACGGCAAAGAAAATACACTTTAATAAAGCTGTTTCTGCTCACTTGTAAGGCTACTAGGCTACTCTTAGCTTTCGTTTGAGACTACGCTACTTTTAGCTTAGCTTGCAGTCATGGAACGCATTCTTACCGCTATCTTGGGATTGTGCGCCCGTCTCCTCTTCTTTGAGTCAGTTCCTCCAGAGCCGCCATTCTCAACTCTATGGACAGAAACCTGGAGAGTCCCGTACGCTCCAGTGGAGCGAACCGCTCATTGATATCGGCAGTTTGTTGTTGGAGTGACGAGACGATCCACTGAGAGCTTTCAGCAGCTTCTTCTCGTCTGTCTGCGGACTGGCCGAAAGTTGGTGACCGCGGAGAGGAGTTGAAGGCGAGTTGAACGCGAGACGTCGTCCAGCCATTATTCACAAACCAGCAAAAACCAAACAAAGGAACTGGAGATACAGTTCTTCTGAATATAGTAACACACACGTGTCTGTTTGTATGCTCGTCTTGCAAGTACTGCTGTATCAGTCATGCCTATGACCTCACACGTGATTGGACGAGGAGTTTAAGGGTCCTCCAATCACATACAAGGTTATTGTTATACGGAAGGACCAGTATTTTAGGAAGACAAATGGTTGGGACTTTGAAACAGCTGATATGCTTTATGTAAAGCAGTGTTTTGGTGTCAGCAGAACGACTTTCACTAGAAAACTGTACAGTGGTGCCTCTTTCTCCATTACACCAGACAATCTTGGATGAGTCTGACATACATGCAATGTTGACAATGTATCATCAGATGTACCCTTGTGTCACTGAGGTTGACTGTTTTGCCATGACATTAAACGGGTAACATATATGAATGTAACTTACTCAATCGATAGATGCAGAGCATAAAGGTCAGCATGTGTTCATGCTAAGTGGTGTGGAAACACTAACAGTTTTGAGGAACCCGTCCTTGACCCTCTAGCAGAACTACGACCAGCCATTATAAAGCAGTTTATAGTTGTTAATGTTGTGTCAAAGGGTACGGCATTTAAACATGTTCTTGCACAAGTTTCCTGGCTTCATCTCCACCCGGACAGACATTTTTATGGAAAGCCAATAGAAGTTTGCGGCTTGCAGGGAACAGACACGTCATACAGCATCATTTCTGCCAGTTGAGCGCATTGCTAGAAGATATGTGGTTAATACATCCTCTGTGCATTTAAGACCAAAGAAAAGGTCACTGTAGTCCTGCCACTATGCACTGTAGTTGAGCTCTAGGTGACTGATCTCTGCAGACCCCTCATGCTGATTCAAATGTTGTTTGCATGGAATGCTCATTTTACCTTGATTAAAACTCATTTTTTAACCCCAAATATGAAGTTATTCTGTGTATCTTTTTTGCATAACATTTGCAATTGCTAATGGCGTACACAGTAATCTAGCATATTTTAATTAATTAAATCAATTCAAGCTAAAATGTAAGAGTCTATAATTAGGCTACTGAGCCTGATCTATTTGTACCAGAGATTTTCTTACCTTTTAAAAAAATGTCACCTGCGCTAAAACTCCCTCTGCAACCCTGATTTGCATTTGTATAGCTCACAGCATTTTCATTTACATGTCAAAGCCTCCCCTAGAATTAGGAGGAGGGGGGTCATGGGGGGACAACTGCCAAGGGAGGCCCACGTCAATTGGGACGTGAACCTGAAATTCCACGACAATCTAGTGCCGCATACTGACGAAAATCCCACTTTTCATGCAGTGGTTGTCCTGCACCAATAATCAAAATGTAACCAAATTGCAATGCGGCCTATTATTCATTCTTACTACTTCCCAATTTAGCGTTCCCTCTTGTAAAGAATCTGATCATTAAATCATGAAATCAAGCCGTCCACCTTCGGCTGTAACGGCCTGATTCATCGCCTCTATTCTGCTCCAACCCGGTGGACGGGCTGCTGGCAATGATGGAGATGTTCTTAGGTCACCGCCATGTACAACTGTTTAGTGTTTGTCATCTTACAAATGGGCTATGACAGAATTATGTGTAAAACATCACAATGACCACTTTGGTTTAATTGAATAGTGGATTAAAAGCTGTCCCGTTTCAGTAAAATATTGCTCCCCTTGACTTCTCCTTTTTCTTCTTCCCCTCCTGGCAGCTGGAGATGGAGAAGCTGCTGCTCCAGAGTCTGGAGCAAGAGCACCGCAAGCTGTCGGCGCAGCTGAAGGACGAGCGCGAGGAGAACAAGCACATCGTCATGATGCTGGTGCGCGAGTGCAAGCAGCTCGCCACGCGTGTAGTGGAGGAGTCGCAGCGCTTCGACGAGCTCCAGGCCCGCCTGAACGAGGAGGGTCGCTCCTCTGGCCGCCTGCAGGAGGAGCTGGGCGTCGAGCGAAAGCGCGGCCAGCAGATGGAGGCCAAGATGGAGAAGCAGCTGTCGGAGTTCGACACGGAGCGGGAGCAGCTGCGCGCCAGGCTGGGCCATGACAAGGCCGAGAGACAGAGTCTGCGGCAGCAGGTGGAGCAGCTCATGACTGAACGGCCCGACGGGAAGGACGGGGCCCTCACTGCTGCCCAGCCAGCCGCCGCAGCTGAACCTTCCGCCCCTCCCACCAGCCCGGCACCCAAACCCCAAATTGTGACGTCTCTTTCTATTGCCATGGAGCCCATTAGTTCTCGAACAGCGTCCAGCCAAACGGACCTGCCCCCTGCCGAGGTGGAGGGTCCCAAGAAGAACCGCCTCGCCGTTCCCGTCAAACCGACGGCCACCAACTATGTAGGCCTGAGTCTGCCGAAGACTGGCGGCCGGGGGATCGTCCACAGCAACTCGGGGGGACTAGTGCAGACGGAGAGCGGCACCGAGGGCCAAGCCACGCACGGCCTGCCCACCGGGGTCAGCCCCCGTGTCCAGGCGGCCCGCTACAAGTTCCAGGAACAGGACCAAAACGGCACGGCGTCCCAGACCCCCCGGCCCGTGACCTCTCCCCAACGCCCACCAACAGGGAGAACTTCGCCGCCAAGCAGCAAGCGCGCCACACCGTCACGCAGGTCCTCTCGCGCTTCACCTGCCCACCGGCGGGAGGTGGTGGAGTGCTGCGTCTGGGCCTGCCCCACTCCACCTCGGAGGGCGGGCCTTTCCCCGGCCGCCTCAGCCATCCCATCAGCATCAAGTCGCCCACGGTGGCCAGGATCGGCCGAGGAAACCCACCCCCCATCCCTCCCAAAAAGCCGGGGCTCTCCCAGACCCCATCACCTTCCCATCCGCCCATGAAGGGATTGGGGAACAGCGGGCGCTCCGTGGGGGGCGGGCTCAGACCGGCCACGCCCCAGCTGCCGCCCAAACCCGCCATGGACCTGGTCCCAGCCCTGACGGCCTCTCAGGTGGGTGCCTGCCCCCATTCCCGCTCAGGCCAGGGCCCTCAGCGCCAGTTGGAGGCGGCATGTGCAGAGTCTCCCCCCGTCATCCGCCCCGCCACCATTGTCAGTAGCCCCTCCTCCATAAACCCCCCCTCCACCTCCTCATCCATTAGCGCTCCATCCTCCCGTAGCCCCAGAGCCTCAGCGGGCAGCCCCCTGGCAACAGCATCAGGTAAAGAGGCTTCTCCACCCTCCATCTCCATCCAGATCTACCCGCTTCCTCTCTTCTTTGACTGTCTATCCCCAGCGCTAGCATAGTGTAGCATTAGCCTAGCATTACGATAGCGTAGCGGTAAGGTAGCAGGCGATCCAACCACAGGAATACAAGGCAGAATAGCACACAGTTCGTTTCAGACTTCTTGCTGCATTCTCTGTCAACTTCTCCCTCCTTTCCTTCCTCCTCCGCCCCTTAAATCCCCTTAAAGTGGGGGCACTTTTCATCTGCCATGTTGTCACAGGTCTAGAGGTGAGCCGTCCCTCAGCGGGACACAGCAAACGTTTACGTCCAGTGGTCAGATTGGTTTCGTCTTTTCCTCTCTGAAGCGGATACTAGAGACTGCTCTCTCCCCCTCCTCCATCCTCTAGTAGCATGCATCTAGCACTCCTCCACCTCCTGCACGTCCTTCAGCTTCCATTAATTCGTTCACCTCGCCTCCCTTTCCAGCCACAGCTGTTTGTCATTTAGATGACAAATGTTTATTTATTGTGTGACGTGCTGTTGGTGCTTGGCTAAATTTGAACATATAGTTGGGTGAAGAATAATTCCAGTTTATTACAACTTTGATCATTGAGTTTTCAGATAACAATTCTAATTTAAATTATCTCGAAGCGACAGACTAGTTGTAAACATGATTACATGAACATGAACCTACAGTAAAAATACAAGAACCAAAGCGCAATGAACTGGACTGAAATGTACCTGTGAAATGTGACAAAGTACACTTGCAGGTCTGTACCTGATCTAGTTATTTTAATTAGATCTTTTTATTTGGTGCTTTGCAGAAAAGTAAAGACCGACGATGACGTACTCAACCGTATAGCATATATTTAAATCCGTGGATAATAGGAGCATTGCTAGCTTTCAGCTGGTTTACTGGAAACAGCGACTGGGTCTTTTTTCTGCTTTGCCCCTGTGGTGCTCAATTAGAATTCAGTACGCCGTTTGTATTTCTATTCCTACTCCACTATATAAATAGAGTGCTGACCGTCATCTGGCCGTTAATCTTTTGTCACATGTTGATTTAATCACAGACATTTCATTAGAGGGAGAACATCTTGCTTATGTTTTGTGGATGTTTTATCCTCTTTCTAACTCAATTAACTGTGTAGCAGTAAATTACTTTTACAATTTACAGTAATTTTATTTCTTCTAAGGTCTTAATTATCCGACTCATATATGTGAATGTACAATTACTTCTGATATTCGTATTGGTTAAGGTTTATGGTCTCAATCTCTAGTTTCAATTCTTCTTCAATACAGCATGATTTTCATTTCATCATCACCATCTTTTACATTACATTACATTACAGGTCATTTAGCAGACGCTTTTATCCAAAGTGACTTACATTACACTTTAAACCCATAGCTTTTTCACATTTTTGCCCGGGGAGCAATTAGGGGTTAGGTGTCTTGCTCAGGGACACTTTGACATGGAACATGGGGCAGCCTGGAATCGAACCAACAACCTTGTGCTTCCCAGCACACCTTCTCTAACCCCTGCGCCACGACGACCGATGTAGTGAAAATAGTGGGCGACTGATCTTGGACATCCTTATAAAGCCTATTTAAGAATAAATGTCCATAACTCTGTCTCACTCCGGATTTGTGTTTTAATAACTGTCGTGGAGATCCCAAAGTGTTTATAGACGGCACATATTCAACCCGTGTTTCACAGACAGTAGATTGAACTTTTGTCCAATGGAAAAGAATACGCATTTATTCAGTGTGAAGAAAAGTTGCTTTTCCACTCGAATGAAAACGGAATATTCGTCATGGAGGGAATCTGGACTTTAAATAAGTTTGATAAGAAAGTAAAAATTGTTTATTTTTTAAGTTCGGCAGTGGATCTGAAGGGCGAGATGTGGTTGACGGACGACGGAGTTTCTGTCTCTGAATGAGCACCCGTCTACCTCTGTTATCCACAATTCCCCTGTGATCCTTCCATTGTGTTCAGAGTAACACCACGCGGGATTTAGACAACATCAGCTTCAGGCTACTTCAGAAACCAACCGCGTGGTTTATTACTCTTCCCAGAGTACTTCATTAATTATAAGTTTAGTTTGGTCAGAATCAAGCTGAAGGTTACGTGACGCACAGCTTGTGTCTCATTGGTCACGTTGGCCATTAGCCTCAGTAGCTTAAGTGCTACGCTAGGGCTTGGCTTTATATGAAAGGGATTCACTTTGGTGCATATTAAAACATAGTCAGAGATATTTACGCAAAAATATGTACAAAATAGTGGGCTATTATTCATAAACATACCCCCCAATCTCAGCATATGCTGTATTTATGTACATAAAACGTATATGTTCAGGAAACGTAAATGGATGAAGTGTGACTTGTTCTTTATTTAAACTTGATCACCACCAGAAAACAAGATCAATATTTAGATATTCAATATTTTTGTGTTTGAGCAATACTTACGCCTTGGCTCTCCCACGCTCAGCCCTTCTAGACGCCTCCTCCTCCTTGTTTAACCTATGCTGCTCCCCCCCTCCCTGCAGGCTGGTGTCCCTCCGTAGTCTCCTCTCTAAGCGGCGGAGGGCCTGCTGCCCTGGACGGCGGGCGCTCCCTGCTGCCCCAAGCTGCTTCCCAGGGAAATGTCACTTTATTGTTAATGCTGCTTAACCAACCAGACCCAACCACCACCACCAACAACCCCACTCACCTTGACCAAGATCCCCACCTCTACCACGACCAAATCTCCGCCTTGTTGGCTGCTGCTCAGAATCGGCACGCAGGTACCCGACTTCTATTCCTCTGACTCGTGTTCCTAACGTGTTGCAACGTTTTCCACACAAGTGCGACTCGTAATCCTTCGCCATCTGATCGGAGAACTAAAAACTACTCACAGTTTTTAGTTTTTGGTTTAATATTTAACATTTATCATGTCTGTCCAAAGGACCAATGTGTACATTTCCAAATCACTGGTGAACCCGGGGGGAGTGAAATCCCTGTCAGCGTTTGGGAGCCCGACTCTAAAGAGCGTGGTCGTCGAGCATCGGCCGGCGGATCATATTGATCGGTATTGAAACAAAGGTTTCACAAGGATTCTGTTGTTCTGTGAGCGTGGCAGACACCTTTGTGATAATGACGATGAAGTCAATCTGTTAATACATTAATAGTTATGCGTGCACACACACACACACACAGTCTGCCTGCAAGTGTCATTATTAGTCATTATCTGCACGCTGAAGGACCTCATCCGGTTTCAGTGAATCATACTTTTTGAAAATGACATCATTGACACTTACAGACAAGCACTTATTTTGCGCCTGTTTGTCGCGCGTCAATCCCACATTTCCACACGATTTCAACAAATAGACGTAAAGTCTGTATGAAAACATCATCTGCACAGCAAATCAGACGTGTGAGGGAACGTCTCGGTGGTCTAAAGGTGGTCATTGCAGTTATTGATTTGTGTCGTCCTCACCAAGATTATTATCGTTAATGAAAACTAACGAAAAAACGAAAACGAGGTGTGATGTTTTTTTTCGTTAACTGAAATAAAAATAAAAATGAGCCTTTATTAAAAATCGATAACTAACTGAAACTGTATTGAGTCTTTACAAAACTAACTAAAATACAATAGAATTATAGAGAAAATGTCTTTAGTTTTCGTCTTTGTCAATGCTATAGAGCAGCGGTTCCCAAACTCAAGAATGCCGCGGCGCAATTTGAAATCTGAAAATCTTTCGCGGCCCACCCAAACCTTTAATCACAACTCTGATCAAAACATAATGATTAAATGACCTTAAGAATTTAACCAAAATCAAACATCCGCGAGCAAAAGTTGGTCTCCGCGAGGTATTTGCTCGCTTGCGAAACGTGAACTTCGTTGCTCGCGAGGAGAATCTCTGCTCGCGCTCGAAGGAGTTTTCGACTTGACAGTAAGGTGGAGACGGTGCTTTCAGGGTCCGATCGATGTCGCGAGGTGCCTCCGCTCCCGCCGCCCCCTCGCCATCCACGCCTTAAATCTTCGGCTGCTTTTAGAATAACTTATTTTCCCGTTAAGATGGTTCAGCTACTGTAGAGAAAAGGGCACCTCTCTCTCTCTCGCTCTTTAATCTCATTAAATGCTTGGCGAGAACGACAGCTTTGTTTCTCCGACGCGCCTTGAAACAAGCTCCATATCTCACGCGCTTGAGCGCCCGCTCAGCATCTCGCCGTCGTAGACCGAGCTTTGGCATGTTTGGCAGAGCGCCTTGAGTGCCGTGTACAACCAGTATGGATCAACCGATTAACCAATTGATCCATATATATAAGGCGCTCCGGATTATAAGGCACTGTCGTTTTTTGAGAAAATTAAAGCCTTGTAAGTGCGCCTTGGAGTGCGGAAAATGCAGTATATTTACTTTAATACTACAAGAGGGCGCCGCATTTATTGAACAACGACAGGCGGACAAGAGCAGCCGTTTCGAGCGAGAGCCTTATTGTTTTATTAATCTGTCCGTTTAAATTGTTTGTGCTTCATCAACTAATGTTTCACATACCTAATGTGCCCCATCATAAATATTTTTATATTAATTTCAAACTTTTAAAAATTGAAAATTAAAAAACGTATTTATTCTAAATGACCTCTCGCGGCCCACCTGCAGTACCTTCGCGGCCCACCCTTTGGGAATCGCTGCTCTAGAGTTTTTATTGGGTTTTTTAGATTTTTTTCAGATTGAGCTCTCTGAGACTCCCGGCTCCCAAGCAATGTCATGTGTGGCTCATTAATGGGTTTAGTACATGCTGTTCACGTGTGTCTTTAGTCTATTGGCTATTGCGTCGTGTGTAGACTGTTTACATATTTGTACCCATATCTACATTTTATGTTCTGTTGTTGATACTGTTTTGTCCAGTGGAATTTTTCTGGTTAATGACACAAACACACTGACTGACACATATTTCATAGTTGTCTTTTGGGGATGGCTGTTCATCTGTCCTAAATACATTTTTTAAAATGGTATGTTTTGTTGAGTTTTTATTACTTATTATAGCTTGTATCTACAATTCATTTTGAGCATTCTGTTATAATCAAAAATGAAGCTTTCCCTGACTGTGCCCCTCCCCCTCCCCTTGGTCTGTTACATTCTGCGGTGAAGACTAAAACTAATACTGAAACTAATAAAAGCATTTTCAAAAAATAAAAACTAAACTAAACTAGCAAACCCGCTTTAAAAACTAATTAAAACTAAACTGAAATTGAAACCAAAAAGTCAAAAATAAATAAAAATAAAAACTAGTGAAAAATTCAAAACTATAATAACCTCACTGACTCAGTCAAACTGCCTCAAGGCTCCACAGTCTGAATAAACTGCTATAATGCTTGACCGCTGTCGGCATTTATCAAAGCATGATGTTTGAATAAGGCTCTAATGTGGGTCATTTTCTCAGGTGTGGAATGGTACAATAATACACAAACATAGATGTAAAGGTTTACATTGAAGAACCAAGGAATTCATATGTCTCCACAAAGGATATGTTTCTTGTCCAGACATTTAGTTGTTGTCCTTACTGAATTCAGGGACGGATGTCTTGCATAAGAAGGTCTCTTAGAGGGACCACGATTCGAATGATTCAGCTCTCAAACCTGTGACATTTCAGCTTTTTAGAAGAAACGCTCCTTGCCACCTGCTTTGTCACCACAAACAGCCACTGTCCTTTCAGCTCTACTAAAAACGTTTTTCTGCTTCCGCTGGCCAAGAAAATGAGATGTTGATGTTCAGTCTGTTTTGTTGGTTTGACCTGGAGTGCATGAGAATAAAAAATGTTGAATTTTATTGTGCATCTTTAAATATCAGTTCCTGCGGTCAAAGTGCATTTTCCTGCTGATACAATGGTCATACGTCAAAGAAAAAAAAATCATTGTATTTCATGCCTTTCGCAACCAAGCGGTTTATTTACAAGCCATTCAAACCGTTTTCCAGGTAACCATAAGGGTTTTTACCACCTGAAACAATCATTACTGTCCCATGCAAATGTTGTGTAACGGAAGCCGCTCCTCGAGGCGGCTGTTAGTGGTCCACTTGTAGTTGTGCACAAACCGACCACAGTGGAATAGTCCACAACCGCTGATGTCCCGTCTACTGGAATACACCCAGACGCGTTTAAGGGTGCAAATACATTTTTATTATGCCAGCAGATGTACACAGTATTCATAAGTAACCTGTCGTGAACTCTGCACCAGCTCAGGTGAAGTGGGCTACATATTGTCCCTTAGCAAGGAGTGTAGCATGTTGCATAGCGGGGAAGAGGACAGAGACAAATCAACACCCTTCGTGTGGCGTTGAGCAAGTGAGATAGACTGTGGTCCAAGGTTGAAACATGCACACCGGTGGTGTAGCCGTGCATGCAGTCACACAAACACAGAATAATGAATGCACGTAGACCCATTTACACACACAATGCATCTGTCAGGATCTGCTTCCCTGCTGGGCTGTTGTAGTACCACTTTCAGTGAAGGAGCGTTGATCTGAAAACATGACTAATGCAGCTGAAGGGCAACTGTGCTGAGGGATTGTGGGTGAATCTACACACAGAGGACACACACACTCAGTCTTTCTCCCATAACGGTTTCAATGAATCAAGATTAGTCTTTTTTCCGCCTGATAAACAAATGGTTGGAAATGGAAATGGTTTTAATGTGAGAATGTGTGTGTGATCTATGTGTGATTCATTCTGCACTGTTCTTCTACTAGTCCCACAGATACATAAACAATGTCTGTGAGGCTATACTTGTGTTATTATCACTGCTGCTCCAACAAAACGTTTCTTTCTTTCCTTGTGAAAGGCAGCAGCACATTTTTCATATTTTAAAGACGATGAAAGTATCGTAATGCCAACAGAACGGTTGACTGTGTAGAACGTGTTTTTTTGTGTGTCTGTCAGAGTGCGTGAAGCTGCTGCTGTCGTGGGAATCGCCCGGAAACAGATTCACATCTTTACACCTCGCCGCCGCCCATGGCCACAGCAGGTGAGCCCACGGGAGTCTTCCTGAATTTCAGCCTGACAACACACACACACACAATATTAATCCCAGGAGTAGCAGAGTTCTCGTTAAGAAGTTGCAGTCTAAGACTAAAAAGATCCTCTGATTGTCCTCAAGTATTGTTCTTCGAATCTTTAAGTCAACTTATTCTATTTCTCCCATGGCACCTTTCAACTCCTTCACACTTTCAGCTATTAAAACCGTTCAAATATTAAAATGTTCAGCTCCTTTCTAGCTTTCCAGGCATGACAGTCTCACGCTCCATAGGCTCCAATACAAATCTGCCGACATATTTCTTAAGAAAACCAGAAGCTACCCGTTTTGTAAACTGCCACAGGAGCCGTATTTATTACCGGATAGACATAAAAACCACATGGTTGCGTTCAGTAGAGTCTTGGATCTCTCACAAACTTCTTATTTTTTAGATAGCTGTTATAGTTTTGCGCTGGTGGACACTTGTTTGAGGTGTGGATTCTGTGTAACTCGCTGTCCTGTCTCTGCCCTGTTCAGCAGCTCGTTAATGAGCACAGGTGCGTCGTTGCCGTGGTTACTCGGACTCACATGCTGCAGTATCTCTGTCTGTGACTCACAGCTGCTCCTATTACCTGATTAGTGGAGTCACATGACGCAGCTATGCTTTCTGTCAACAGACCAAT